AAAGCACTATTTCTAATTAAGTATGATTTTCTATGATTTTTTTTGTAAAGGCTGAAACGTTTCCTTCTATTTCAGCTTGCAGAGAAGCGTAAAAGTGCGTTGGATCAAATGGCGATAGAACGTCACGACATCGACCGAGTCCACCGAGAGCAAGTGGACAAGATACATGAAGATCATAAGGTTAGGATGATGATAGTGATGAAGGATGATGCATGCATGGAATCATTCCAGGCCTAACACGAGCATAACCCGGAACAAATAGTCTCCTTCACGGTTCCCTGCGGCATCTTGAAAGGTAGCCGTGTCTTTGCATTGAAGCAAGACGACCGTTGAGCTTGTAATGATAGAAACCTTCTTTCACACCTACAGACAATTATTCACAGGTATCTATCATTGCACGCTCAATGATTGTCTCGCTTCGAGAGACAAGGCACGGGTACCTTTCAARATGGCGCAAGGAATCGTGAAGGAGACAATTAGACCTCGAGGTCGAGTGGACTACGAGCTAATAGCCCATGAGGCCGAGTCCGCGAGGCCGAATGGGATATTAGCTCGTAGTCCACGAGGCCGAGAGGTCTAATTGTTTTAGTATAAACATACTAATTGGTCAAATAATGAAAGCAAATTGAAATATCCTTAAAATAATTTATTAATGAGATGCCGCCATTTTGATTTTCCCGYGAGTGGTCTATCACAAATTAGACCATTAGTAGAGTAGCCAATCACAGCRCAGTATGAGATAGACCATTAGTATGTTTATACTAATAGGGCGTTATGCATGTCATCTTTCTTTTTGTGTAATTTTGCAGAAAACTATGACAGAATTAGCCGAGCAGCTCACAGGAGAAAAGGTACTGAGGTGAAGCACAAGTCGTGTGGTCATGTAACTTCTAAGCCAATCAAATTCCGTGATATAAACAAGTCAGTGGTTTGATGATAAGCCAATCACTGCTTTCGATCAACATACATAAATGATCAATCAGATCATATAGCCAATCAGATTTCTCGTAGTTAAGAGGTTGTCATTATAAACAAGAATCAGCGAGATCTTGCGTATTACTTGATTCATTTTAATGAGCCAATCACATTGCATGTAATAAGCAAGCTGTTTACTTACAAGTCAGATTTCGAGTATTGTTGACTCATTTTATAAATGATTTATTTTCAGAAAGTACGAAAGGAGAACGAGGATCTCCAACAAAAGCTGTTAGATACAAAGACGAGACTACAGGCTTCAGAGGAAAAATGTAGCTGGTTTGAAAGAACTTTATCCAGAACTGAAGAAGCTGCGAACGCCGAGAAAGAACAAAACAAGAAAGTTACGGAAGACTTAATTGAAAAACATAACCAAGACATGGAAACTTTAAACGAAGAGAAAAAGAAGCAATTTGAGGTACTGTTTGTATCTGGTTGTTGTTTACTTGTCAAGATCTGCCGACGTTTATTAGTTTTTTAAGTCGTAAACGCTTTTACTTCACATTCGTGTTTTTCTTTTCCTTTTGCATTTTTCCATATCCTTTTCCTTTCTCATCTTTTCTTTTATTCTTCTGTCCCTTTTTATCTCTTAACTTTTTTTTTGCTTTCTTGCGTTCCTCTTCTTCCTCTAAGTCTTATTCTTCTCCAATTTTCCRTTTCTCGTTTTTGGGACAATRAAAGTAACTTTATCTTTCAGTATTTGCAAGTTACTGTGAACACTGTCACGAATTGTGTGACTACATATAATKAATTGCGTGACATAACGAATTGCGTGACCTATTTCCAGGAAATGACGTCACAAATTGAAGAACTGAATAACASAATAGAAGAAGAAGCTGAAAAACACAGACAGGAAATGGAAGAGCACAGTGAAAACATGACAAAACTGACWCAGGAACTGAAAGATAAACAAGTTGAAAATAGAATAGCAGGGAAGAAAGGAGATCAATTGGTAATTGAAACGCTTGAACATCAAAAGAAAAAAATATCACTTATTTATGAAAATTTGCCACAACTTTGAACATCATATTTCTCACTGAAAAGAAAATCGTGCGCGAAATCCGAGAAAGAAAAGTACGCGCGTGGAGCGTGAGAGTGCGAGGGAGGGCTTTTGTCTACGTGCTACATGACTATCGATAATATGAGGAGTACTCATGATTTTTTGACAATATTTTCTGATCTTCGCAGGTGAAAGACCTAAAGCGTCAATATAAACTAGAGCGTAAACGAGCTGACCAACTACAGCAAAAGTTACAAGAAGCCTTGTCAGAGAATCGAGCAAAACAAAGTAAGTTTGTAAGAATAACGAACCAAACTTGCACCAAGTCCTTTTATCGCTCGAGTAAGYGGAGCGCGGTGCATTAAGGGAGGGGCAAAGAAAACTCTTTGCTTCCCATCGATCCCTCCAGCGTAGCGAAAAATGAGTAGCAACTGGGTACGAATTTGATAATGAATAGAGGGGACGGATGCGGTATTTTCTTTAGGGAATTATGATGATGATGATGGTGGTGATGATAATGATGATATTGATGATGATGAGGATGATAATGATGATGATGATGATGATGATGATAATGATGATGATGATGATGATAATGATCATAATAATGATGATGATGATAATAATAATGATAATGATGATGATAATGATTGTGATCCACTCCAAGGAATCACAATTGATTTACACTTTTGTGCTTTTAGACTTTGACGAGCTTTTCAGTACTCCAGGACAGCGCAGGAATAGCGGGTATGCCTATTGTGAAATAATAAACAATGAAAGGCTATTGATCTTTTGTTTTGATTGTTTTACTCTTTTCAGTGATTCGTCTATTCTCAGCCCTAACAGAAGTGATATAGACAGTCCAGATATCAGAGTAAGTATCTTGTAATCATTGGTAAACAGCTGACCTTGTAGCTCAGCTGGTAGAGCATTGGTAGTACAAATCCGAGGGTCGTGGGTTCGAATCCCAGCGAGGTCGGAAATTAAATTTTTCCAAGGATCTTTCTCCCGGAATAACCTCCTTCTTAGCACAATAACTTTCCTTTATTTTTTAATCATCGGTATCTTCCTGARATCTGTATCCTGTAATCCCTTCTTCATTTTCTTTCTTCATTACTTCATTCTTTCAGTTTTTGTTCATCCGTTGGATCTTTCTTTCATTCATCTTGTCTCCGTTCAAATCCCATTTCTCTTTCGTTCCTTCATTTATTAATTCCATCCCTCCATATTTGCTTTACTACACCCATTCCTTCCTTCCATTCATTTATTCATCCGTCCATATATCTATTTACTTCAAATAATAAAGTTTTATTTCCTTAAATGTATTCAGCCTCCAAGCCCATCCTCGTCGATCTCAGGTCTTCTCAACGAAGACACGACAGACCTGATTGAACGACTCGCAGACGTACAGCAGGAAAAATGGCTGCTTGAAGAAAAAGTTCGACACTTGGAAGAAACCGGTGGTGCTTTGGCTGATGACCTGATGCAAAAATCACACATTATACAAACATACGCTATGCAGACCAAAATTGGTAGGTTCCAAAAACGCAACAGTGTACGTTTACCTAGCGTTTTTGTACGATACGAATACGTATACGTGGCGTTTCTCCGTCTTCAAGGCAATCAAAAACAACATTTAAACATTGCAAAATTAAACACATTAGCGTGGAAGCGCTTATGTGCGGAAAACAGTGCTCAAAATGCTACAAAAACGCTTATTGCCATCAATGAAAAGCCCTTGCGTTTTTGTTAAGTGTTTATATAGCAAAGTACAAATATGCGAAAAATTGAAGAGAGAACGTAAGCTAACGTACATACATTGACTGATATTCAGGTCCCATCAATGAGTCCCCCAAAACACCAACCATCACATCACTTAAAGAAAGAATGAAGTCAAGTTTGAATATCGGAAAAACCAAAGCTGATACCAAGAAAATACAAATGCTACTCGAGGAAACACTAATGAAGAATGTGCAACTACAAGAGGTAAGTTATCAACTACTGGGCCATTAGCTAGTATTGTAAACACTAATGGTCGAAACTGCATTCTTATTGGCTATTCTTCTTGAGTTTAATTCATGATAGACTATTAGAAGTAATGTGAAATGGTCGATCAAAAATTGAACCCTGTTTCAGTAATGATTTGCTTATTATTTGATCTATTAGCATGTTTAATTTAAAAAGAATATATGTACATAGTCAGACCTCTCTACCCCATGGTCTAAGAAGGAAGCATTACACAAAGCCTGCTCGACAAAGGCATCATTGTCATCGCTGGCATCAGTGTCATTAAAATATAAATTTAATAATCCCTTTAAGCTAATAATCTATAAATGATCATCTTAAAGTTGAAGGACCTTTAACCTTTCGCTTCGCGCAATATTGTTTCTGTTGAGGTTATTTTTCGTTGAATACCCCATACACCCCAGCGAAAACAGCATATTTGGACGTTTTGTTTTTGATTTGATCGTTTTTATTATTGCTTCTTTCTTTAAGGACATTGATCGACTATCCAAGCAGTTACAGAAATATACAAAAGACGATACGTCAATACTAACTAACCAATCAGTGACAAGTATATCAGAAAACACACAGTCGTCATCAACCACCAATGAAACGACACAGGGTTCCCAAGATTTTGATGAGAGCTCCACGACACAGGAATCCCATGTGGAATCCTTGTCGTAGTTCGACGGTGTATGTAAATAGAATAAATTTATAGGGTTAAATTAGTTAGGATATATTTAGATACAGCACAGTTTTAATCAACATAAGTTAAATACAACATTAATCCGAAATATATAGAGGATACATGTATACTATTACATAGGCACCCGGAGATACGGATTTTATCTTCGAGTATTGAAAAGAACTCTCACGAGTGACCGTAGCACGAGAAGATAAAATTCGTATCTCCAATCGACCATGTAAGATTCTGTTTATCATATAATTACATATGTGTGCAAATAATTCAGAAATTTCTTCGATAGTAAAACTTGTGAAATTTAAAACTATTTCAGTTGTCTTCTATACTCACGGATCTCTTGCATTTCCACGGACTGTTAGTCAATAACAGAAWTTCTTACATGGTTTTGAGGCTAACAAAGCGTAAAAGAGATCGCTTAAAGGGTTTATATGATAAATGGTTATTACAGTTATCTTAGCTCAACTGTCTGTCCCTCTATCTGTAGAAATGTATCCAATGTCTTTCAATCAGATGATATGTTTATCCAGTATCCTGTACTCGAGCCCAGTGTATGAGAATTCTTATCGAATATGTTTTTATATCGTTTTTAAAATGCTTCTTTATCAAGACAGGTGCTTTAGATGTAAAACTAGTCAATATCAGCCAGGTTAGATACAATGATATTAAAATATCACACTCCTTGGATTCAATCTTATTCAATATTAAAAAGTTTGATTACAACAGTATTCCATGTCACTTAAAAAAATATTCCATTTTTTCATAAAACCAAAATGGCCAAAAATGACCGATTTTTGATCAAAATGCATGGCCTATAGCCCACCAAAATGGCCAAAAATGACCGATTTTTGATCAAAATGCATGGGCTATAGCCCACC